GTAGTCGAGTCCTCTGTTGTTGATTGTTTTGTAGTTGACGTAATAGTAGTTAACTCTTCGCTTGTTAAATCTTCTGTTGTCGACTCCCTTGAAGTTGATTGTTGTGTAGTCGACTTGTCTGTAAAAAATTGCTGTGTGGTTGACTGTCTTGTCGTTGAATCATCTATAGATGTTGACTCAACTGTTGTTGATTGTTGTGTAGTTGAGGCAATTGTCGTCGATTGGTCTGCTGTTGTTGATTCCTCTGTTGATGTAAGACTTTGTGTAGTCGATGCACCTGTAGTCGATTCTTGCGTCGTTGAGGCGCCAGTAGTTGATCCGTCTCCTGTAGTCGAGTCCTCTGTTGTTGATTGCTTTGTAGTTGACATAATAGTAGTTAACTCTTCGCTTGTCAAATCTTCTGTTGTCGACTCTCTTGAAGTTGATTGTTGTGTAGTCGACTTGTCTGTTGAAAATTTCTGTGTGGTTGACAGTCTTGTCGTTGAATCATCTATAGATGTTGACTCAACTGTTGTTGATTGTTGTGTAGTTGAGGCAATTGTCGTCGATTGGTCTGCCGTTGTTGATTCTTCTGTTGATGTAGGATTTTGTGTAGTCGATGAACCTGTAGTCGATTCTTGTGTCGTTGAGGCGCCAGTAGTTGATCCGTCTCCTGTAGTCGAGTCCTCTGTTGTTGATTGCTTTGTAGTTGACATAATAGTAGTTAACTCTTCGCTTGTCAAATCTTCTGTTGTCGACTCCCTTGAAGTTGATTGTTGTGTAGTCGATTTGTCTGTAGAAAATTGCTGTGTGGTTGACAGTCTTGTCGTTGAATCATCTATATATGTTGACTCAACTGTTGTTGATTGTTGTGTAGTTGAGGCAATTGTCGTCGATTGGTCTGCTGTTGTTGATTCCTCTGTTGATGTGGGACTTTGTGTAGTCGATGCACTTGTAGTCGATTCTTGTGTCGTTGAGGCGCCAGTAGTTGATCCGTCTCCTGTAGTCGAGTCCTCTGTTGTTGATTGCTTTGTAGTTGACATAATAGTAGTTAACTCTTCGCTTGTCAAATCTTTTGTTGTCGACTCTCTTGAAGTTGATTGTTGTGTAGTCGACTTGTCTGTTGAAAATTGCTGTGTGGTTGACAGTCTTGTCGTTGAATCATCTATAGATGTTGACTCAACTGTTGTTGATTGTTGTGTAGTTGAGGAAATTGTTGTCGATTGGTCTGCCGTTGTTGATTCTTCTGTTGATGTGGGATTTTGTGTAGTCGATGCACCTGTAGTCGATTCTTGTGTCGTTGAGGCGCCAGTAGTTGATCCGTCTTCTGTAGTCGAGTCCTCTGTTGTTGATTGTTTTGTGGTTGATGTAATAGTAGTTAACTCTTCGCTTGTTAAATCTTCTGTTGTCGACTCCCTTGA